GTATCAGGACTGCCCTGACAGAACTGTGTTCCTTGTTAGAGTCTATTCTTTGGGCTTTAGCAGCTCTTGTGGATAAAAGTCGTCTGCTCTGATCTGTCAGCTGGACTGTGAGTGAACTGTTCCCATACCCGAGCTGCAGTCTCTTCCTCTGTAAAATGGAGATAAGAAATTGTCTACCTTACAAAATTATGGGATAAGGAAGAAGCCACCAAGCTCATGGCCAGGTAAACTTCAGTCCATGCTCTACTGGCTCATGTGAAAGCTCAGGACTAAAATCTGCTGCTCAGCTATTCAAGACAGCCCTGGAGGGCTGGACAGACAGCGTGGTTTTAACCAATTTCAGGCACTCATTCTGTGTTGTAAGCTGTGTGTCTATAACACATTTCACGTCCCTATTTTAAAACCTATGAGTTAAGACACCAAAAGTTCTGTCTTCCGTTGGTATAAATGTTACTGTTGCATTCCTTTCCTTAAACTATACAAAAGCTAGCAGCTTTGTCTCCATATCCTTTCTGCTCCTCACTAAAGAAAAGAATTTTCATTGCAAATGAGCAATTGGTCTATGAAAGAAAGAGTATTACAACAAGATGCCCTTGACCCTCCCTTGAAAAAAAAAAGGCCCACACTTGAGGAATGCCAAATGATTCTCATTAAAGTAATGAGCATATTTTCAGTGACATGTGTCTGACCGCCTCTAGTTGGCTGGACTTGTGGCAGCCAGAGACCCAAAAATAACACACAGCTGGCAGTTCCTGCTCAAACACACCTCACAGAGGCGTTCCGTGCTGCTTTAAGGATGTCCCACCCTGGAAAGCTGGGGTGTAAGGGCATATGCAAATCACTGTGACAAGGAACACACATTCCTGGTGGAACTGAGTACCTTGGGTTCCTCTAGCTCTTTCTGTATACGGTTCACTCTAACTTGAAAAGATTCAGCCAATCCCTTTCCTTGCCCCACACTACAACCAAGTTATTTTTATCCCACAACTATCACTGGTAAGTATTTTTTTTAAGTTTTCAGAAAGAGAAGCCATGAAAAAAACAAAATGCTGTTGCATTTCAGTGAGAAATAGTCCCTCAGCCAAAGCCATAAATGAACGCCATTTTGGTTTCCAAGCAGCAGACTCCTCCACATGCACGGAGTTTTTTTGCAGCCCTTTCTACAGGGTCCTAGGAGGAGCCGGACAGGCCAAAAATTTCTGCCATGTGTGTCTGTCCCATTTTCTACACAATGAGGCTGTGTGCAGTGTCCAAGTTCAACAAGTAGTAACCAACAATATACAGACCAGCACTGCATTTGACACTTTTACTCCAAGGGACACTTTTCCCACATCTGAAAGTTAGCTGAGTGGACGGTGCTCCATGTCCCCAAGCATAGCAGTTCATAGAAGATACATGTGGCCTTCACTGAGTAAAAGATGACAGCTTAGGAAATGTCATAAAGCTAATGACAATAACTACTACTGTCATTGGCTCTGAGGAGCCTCACATATCCTGTTTCAGTAAATCCTCATGACTTCTTTGAGGTGGGTACTGCTGTGTAATTATTCTTGTTCTACAAATGAAGAAAGTGTGACCCAGGGCGGTTAAATGACATACCCAAGATCACAGCAGTTTTTAACCCTGACAACCTGGCTCCAGCCGAAGTTACAGACAGACCTGGATGGCTAGGTACCACAGTCACCAAACCACGAAGGCACTGTGCTACACGGAGCTCGCAGCCCTGCGGGAACACGAGTGGGAAATCAACTGCCCTGCCTGCAGTCTGGGCGGGTGACGACAGGCTCCGGCCTGTACAGGCTGCTACACTGGCACGGCCCGATCCACCACGGCTGAATCCCAGAGTAGCAGCTTACCTTCCCAGTGACCACTTCCTCCTCCTTCCCCACTCCATTCGCAGATACGACTTCCTTTTACCTTTCCCTGCGCACACAAGAGCGCCCCCAGTCAGCTCCTGTGTGTCGCTGAACCCACCCCTCAAACTCCGCCCCTAGCAAAGGTCCATGAAGTCTCAGTCTCCCTGTTTGGGTCAGAGGATTCCCCCATCTGCCTGCCCTCGATCCTCTCTAGTGATTTCAGAGTTAATAAAGGCTCCCCCTCCCCTTATTTCCGCTTCTCTGCTGCACTGCTGCCTAACCTAACAGGTGACAGATGTAGGGCTGTGCAGGCTCAGCTAAGGGTCAGTGCAGCGGAACACACGGCCACAACATTCACACTGCGCACACCAACCACGCCACCAGCCTGCCGCAGGCCCTCAGGGGCCGCCACCCGGCCGAGCATCCTGTGTCTTCAGCCCGAAGCTGGAACTCTCATACTTCACCTTCAGGGACTCGAATGGGCAGCTACGGTGGTCTTCTAGTCACAGGGTCTTTGCAAAGTGAAGCCAGCATCCAGTGCGAAGGGGGGCTCCATCCAGCACATTCTTTGTTTTGAGGGTCCCTGCATCAAAAGGCAGCCTAGTAGAAATCTACAGTAGTCAATGATATTTTTAAAGAAACCAGAACTAAGACAAAACTAAGCCAGCATTTGTTGTTGCTGTTGTTGTTGTGGTGGGCATGGAGCCCAGGACCTCTGAACTGAGCTACAGCATACCCAGTTTTTAATTTTTTTGTTTTGAGACAGGATCTTCCCAAGTCATTTAAGCTCCCCAGGCTGGGTTCTAACTTGTGATCCTCCTGCCTCAGCCTCCCAAAATGTTGGGATTACAAGAATGTGACATCACACCCAACTTGGATTTGTTATCTTCAGGGAGCTACAGCTCAAATAAGAATTAGTGGGGCTGGTGAGATGGCTCAGTGGTCTAAGGCGCCTACTTAGAACAAGCTGAGCTAAGCAAAACACAGAGACCGCGGTTCAATCCCCAGCACCACATGCCAGCCAGCCCCGCCCCCTGGTGGGCTGAGCTGGCCACACACACACACACACACACACACACACTAAATAAATAAATATCTTTTTTAAAAAAATACCATTAAAAAAAAAGAATTAGTGTAACATATAACTTTAAATCCAGAGATATACAGTAATAATTTCAGAAGCCAAAAAGACAGGGACAAAAAAAAATGTATTTTTTTCTCTTTGTGTTTTAATTTTAAATGGGGGAAAAAAACCTTTCACCAACTTTGATCTACTTAACCCCTTGTAGTAGTCAGCTATTCATACAATGATGCTGTATAACAAGCAGACAAAAATCTCAGGCATTTAAAAAGAAACACACATACAAAAATAAATAAAAAGAAAAAGAAACACACATTTCTTGCTAATACATCTCTGGAACAATTGGATATGTGCTCCATGTGTCACATTCCAGGATATCTGTCACTCAAGCCAGTCCAGGACCCCTGGCTGGAGGTCAAGCCCAGCCAGGCAAATGTAGACACCACCTCTGTTCCCATCCCATTCACTGCATCCCATTAGTCGAAGCAAGTCCCAAGCCAACCCCAATGCCAAGAACTGGACAAGCACCCATCTCTCACCACGTGGCACGGTAGCCAGCCAACTACACTTTCTGAACACTCCTTGCAGGCAAGCATTACTAGTGCCCTTTTTTTTCGACATTGAGTACGTGGAGCCTCAGGAATTTATTGCCACCAAGGTAAAAAAGGCAGACAAGCATGCTGTTCTAGCAGAATTTGAATCCAACTCCGGGTGCCTTGTGGTTCCTACAAAATGTAGCTGACTTGCAACTCGCAACCATCTGTAATAATCACCCCTCCCCTCCGTGCTACCTTGCGGATAGCAATTCTCCCCAGATCAGGCCCAATGCGACCTCCGCTCTTAGCATGATCATGGGGTTTAACATTTGTTTGAGGCTTTCTGCAGTGGTTTTACAAGCTATTTTTACTATTACTACCCTAATAAATTATTTATGGTGGGAAGCCTTAATTAGAAAATCCTGGCTACTTGCAAATAGACTTTATTAAAAACATCTCCTTCCCTCTGCAACACACAGCCCCGTGGGGCTCACGTCATTTTTCTTTCTGCCCTGAGCCTTCAGCAGTGTATGAGACAGGAGCTGCCACCCCACCCTGTGCCAGCAGGGACCCCGGGTTAAAGTGTCCTAACTCGGTGAGGAAGGGCCAGGAGCCACCGCGGTGTCTCTGCCCTGGGTCGGTTCACTTACTCATGTAAGCAATGGCCACTGAAGGCCGAAGAGGCCTGTTACGTCGCTGGAGGAAGAGGACCGGACTGGATCTCTTGGAATTACACTCCAAGCGTTACCAGAAATAAAAACACTGTGGTTTCAGGTTGTGCTAGGAGTTGAGAAGAAACCTGGATCTGTATGAAAGTGCTTTCCCCTGAACACCAAGTGCTTTCCCCTGAACACCAGGGAGCTCCTCCGCCGCCACGACCCGCAGCCCTGAGCTGTGCAGGTCACTCAACCGGGGCGCAAGGCCTCAGCACGCGACCCGGCGCCACTGCGCCCTGCAGTCACCCGGCAGTCTGTGGGCCTCTCCTCGACTGCACCGAAATGAAAACAAAACTTGCGACCTGGGGTTTCCAGGAGAGGACTCGAGAGTCAGAAGCCCACAGGACACGGGCGCACAGCGCCCGAGCCCAGGCGACCCAGGCCTGACCTGCCCCCGCGCCTGGGTCTGAGGGACGCGGCGCCGCTCGGGTCCGGCCTTCTCCGCCACTGCGGTCCGGCTGCAGCCTGGGTGACAGCTCGGGGCACCGCGGGCGGGCGGACAGCCACCACCCCCGCGGCGCCGGCTCCCTCCCCGGCCCGGGTGGGCCGCGCCTGGGTCCTGCCCCTCCCCGGGCGGAGCCTCGGGGTCCGGCGGGGCGCAGCGGCGGGCGCGCGGCTTCAGGTTCCCGGCGCGTTGTGCAACCGCGGGGCGCGGGGGCGCGGAAAACAGCCGAGCCATAAACAAAGCCACGTGGGCTCTCGGGGGCCGGGCCAGGCGCGGGCGGCTCTTCCGGCAACAAAGCGCCGCGGCCGGGCCGGATAAATAGTGGGCCCGGCGCGGCGCTGCACTCCCGAGCGCGCCCCCCGCTGTCGCCCCGCGTCGCCCAGCTGCGGGTCCCGGCCC